GACACGGGGCTGACGCAGCGGGAGGCCAGTTAGTGGTCGAGCCACCCGACCACACCCTAGCCGAGCGCGCACGAGCGCCGCGGCTCGTGAGGCGGCGGTTGGCCGACAATTTCGGTGCACAGGTCACGGGTCAACGGGCGCAGGTCGGAGACAATGACGCGTCCAGCTTCCCTGCTGCCGTCCGAGCCACGAAACGGCCATTTGCCGCGCTCGCCGAGTCGGCAGTCGTGAAAACCGATGATTGGGCGAGAATCAAAGCGTGTGGATGGATGGCACGGCATCGTGACAGCAAGAAGGAGGGCGGAGCGCGCCGAGAAAAATGCTGTGTCCAACGATGGGTGTGATGCCATTAGATAACGATCGGTCTAACACGTCAGCAATAAGATCATGGGTGAGAGTTGAGAGGTTAACTTCACATCAACTTGATCAAGGGCTAGTTCATTCACAGGTGAACGCAGCGATGAAAGCTGAAAGCATTCCGTAATCGTATCAGATGGGATAATGACCAGACAGCTTACACTGATCACGCCGATTTATCTAAAATTCAGTTTCACCAGAGCACCATAAAATGTCGCTGAACAATCTAACGGCTAATAAAGCGGCACACTAAACCAAGCATGTCGCTTTTATAACCTAAATGATCAGACATGATTGAGTTTTATTCACGATCGATGGCAACACAAGTCAAATTCCTAAAACCAGACGTTTCGGCCACAGGGTGCCTTCGTCAGTGGACACCAGTGGCGGATCTACGTTGGGGCAAAATGGGCAATTGCCCCCCCTAAACGGAAAACCTCTGGGCAAACATATCTTTTTGCCCCCCCTAAAAAAAACTACAACTTGAATACTAAAAATATGGTGTTTGAAAAGAAAATGTGAAATAAATGGAGGACTAGAAGGTTGTCATATTCGTGATATTAAGTTGTGAGCTGATAAAAAGTCCTCCGCCCCATGAATGTCAGTCCATCATCAATCAGCAGTGCTACTACTGCTACTGTTACCATAAAAAATAACGCGATTTATTGAAACCTTGAACCAAGTAAACAAACCGTCAACAGCAGACCGCCAGACGCCAGTGGGGTCAGGGGTCACCACACTGGTGAGCGGTTGGACAGTGGTGGGTTTGCATGGGTATATAAGAAGTGTTTGCATAATAAGAACTAGTTGAGTGAACGATATGGTTGAGCTACTGCCGCTGTGTCACTCAGTGATGGCCAGAAAGAACGGTGTACTGCGTGCCTTTGAGAACAAGTGCGAGATAGGTTTCTGAGAGGAATAACGTAAAGAAGATTACCAATCGCGGCTTTTTCATGAGCCATACCGTTATCTAACGGGGACAAACACAGAAAGGCTCGGTCAGAGCTTTTGGTTTGCGAGGTGTTGGAGAAGCTCAGTATGTTGTGGGAACTTAACGCTGTTCAGTGTGATTCCGTTGGCTGTTGCGCTGTGGTCCTATGTAGTCTGTAGAAACATCGTTTATCTCCTCTCGAAAGTAGCACTTATTACGGAGCGAGCGAAGCGAGCGTAGTCTTTCCTTAGATTAACGGAAATTTCTGAGTATGAGCGGCCGGCCGGCCGGCCGTGGTCACGATTCTGCGACGCTTATATCTCAGCAACCACTTGACAGATTTACACGCGGTAATTTTTGTAGGGTAGCTTCATTCCTTCTACCAAGTATTGGACTATTCCCGATGCATGTGGGTGACCCCTTATGCACGTGCCACGTGCAAAACGAAGAGGTGTCACTTTTGTAATTGTTGCAATATCTCGGTAACTACTTGGCCGATTGCGCTGAAGTTGGCATGTAGGTAGGCACCCACTAGGCAATGCATATCCATGTGCCAGAGTTGGGGTGCTGCTGCACGTGCGCACGTGCAGGGGTCGATTCCAGATCTCGAGAACGGCTGGACCGATGGCGCTCAAATTTGGCATATGGCTAGGGACCGGTTAGTAGGGTGCCGTGCACAAGTCAGTTGGGACCCATTTTGCACGTGCGCACGTGCAGGGTGCCGCTTCCAGATCTCGAGAACGGCTGGGCCGATTGTGCCCAAATTTGGTACATCGCTAGAGACCGGTTAGTAGGGTGCCGTGCACAAGTCAGCTGGAGGTACCCCCTCGAAATTTCGCACGTGCAAGGCTCACCCTCTCGCTCGCTCCGTTAGTCGCCCCAAAAGGCGTTATACTGGTTGTATAATTTTGCTAGCTCGCAAAGTTTAGTCCCAAAGTTAAGGAATGTTCATTGTAATTGCATCAATAAATGCAGGACCGAAAACAAATGCGCTGTTCTTCGTCTATTTCTCGTTGGGATTCTTAATCGACTGATCTCATTTTCTATTACCGGAAACAACTGTTCATACGTTTAGACCAAGATTCTTGCGTTTAACTACGTGGCAACCCTGACTGCGTATAGTATCGCAGGTACGCTGATGTGGCCTTTGGTCGTGGGCATTTACACATGAACCTGCTGCTGCGACCCTTATCGGTCTCTGGATACAGAAGCCCTTGAGAACCGGCGCGGGCGGACCTTTCGGACGAGGTCTTGCCGAGGTGATGCGGGAGGTAGAGGACGGACCGTCCATAGCGCCGGTGAGCTATTCTCTAACTATCTCCCGGAGTCAGGGTGGCTGCAATTTTTTTTGCGCTGCCCTGGCTTGGCCGGACTGACAAAAATGTAAAAAAAAATAATTCCCGAAATCCGAGGAGAAAAATAGGGGTAGCTCGTTTTTTTTTTGTTCCTAAGACTGAACGTTTGAAATTCTCGCCGACTTGCCTGGCGGCGCAATGTTTGCCCCCCCTAAACTCAAATCCTAGATCCGCCACTGGTGGACACTATAGTTCGTTTTTTTTTCAAAAGGACGCTGGCTCCAAGTATGTTTTTCGAACAAGCACGTGTTTTAGCGGGCAAAACGAGCAAAAACTGAACCTGAGAAAATCGAACGTCGACTAATTTTAACCCTCGCATGTGTGCGGCGTTTGCCAGCTTCTAATGTGTAGGGGGGGGGGGGGTCGGTTGGACCCCCCCTTGCCGTTTGGCCCCTGATCGAGCTAGAGCTTCGCGGAAAAAACGAGCGTGTTGCCCGTGACGAGAGGAAGCCGATGATACCCAATTTTAAGGTCCTAGGTCATTGGTTGACCTTCCAGGTCAGGTCAATGACCCAAAGTCGGGAAAATCGGGACCTGTTAGAAAGTCGTCAAGTGTGGCTGCTAAGGGGTTTTTCGGGGTGCTGATCACGAATATCGTGTTAGTTTTGATCACAGATGATGTCTTGAAGCATTTAGACCAGGTCGGGTCAGGTCAGGTCAGGTCAACCAGTAGGCGTCGTGACGGGTATTCGTAGTACGTGTCAACCGCCTCTGACAGCTTCGTAACATGTTACGAAGTCACCAAAACTACTTCGTAAATGTTCAAATGGTTGCTAAATTCGAATTCAGCTCCAAAAACTAGCCTAGAAACATGTAAAACTCGAAAAAGTGAACCGAGGTCACCCGAGGTCACCAAAGGTCAATGACCTGACCTGACCTTCAGGTGACCTTGACACACACGGGAGTAACATCAAATCACATGTTTGAACGTTTGAAACCACGAAAAGCTTGCAAACACGCGGCTAGTGCGAGCCGACATACGCGAAATCGCGATTCCGGCCAAACATGGTCTCGGAAAAGAGGTCACAGGTCAAAGGTCATTTGGGTCAGGGTCATGAAATTTTCAGGGTAGGTGTAAAATTGATCAATGCGAGGGTACTGAAAGTTTCGTCGCGATCGGCCGCTTTTTACGCGAGTTATTCGCGAAAAACCATGGGGGGGTCCATCCGACCCCCCCCTACACATGCGAGGGTTAACATGTGATTTCTTCCCCATAATTTCCATATGTGCGTTTTGGAACCAGATAGGAGAACAGTGGTGACGTCATGCTGTCGAACATGTATTGCAGTGTAACGTATAACTTTCATGGACGGAATCGCTCACTCGATTATAAGGTCGGCATCTTAAGAATTAGACTAAATTGGATGAGGAGTGAGGACCGCTCCATTTTTTTCTAAAATTTCTATCACATAAAATTGCTATAACATTGTTTCCATATTCATTATTCCCAACATAGGAAGGTTTTGTTTACGGTTCATAATCTCCAAGAGACAAACTATTCGTTTTGTTAGGATGCCGGAACACCGTCTGAAACTGTCGCTAGGCTTCATGTGGACTAGTATTTGTTTAGTGTACATTTGAAGGTCGTACGCCAGAGACAAGCTGTAACCTACCATTGCGTCCGTTTGATTTCATGGGAGCGATGTGGGGCGCTGGATTCATGAACTGATATAATCTACATCACCGGACAAGAAATGGTCGCACAGGCGTCTCCAATGGTCAACGGGGCCGCAATGGGGCTACTGTCGCATCATGAAGGCAACAGCATCGCCACATACTGCATGGAGCTGCTTCGTATTCTCAGCGAACGGTATCGAAAGTCTCAGAAGAGCGCTGTCACGCATGCGAACGAGCGAAACCGACGTGCCGAAGAGCAAAAACACTACTGCTGGCCGCATGGCACGGCCAATGTCTCATCCCGGTCGGACGCTGAAGAATGTCCTTGGAAACCACCGCGACGCTTCTTTACAGGAGCTATTGTTCATATAGAGAAAACCTAGGATTCATTAATTTGAATTTTGGCTTCCTTTTATACCAAGAAGTAAGATGAAAACATCTTTGAACTGTCAAAAATATATCTATTAATTGTTTTGGAACTAAATTGGCTATAAAAAACAGTTGGGTGTAATATGAACAGTTGTTGCAATGATTGTTTCTTTGTTCTTCGTGATAAACCACTAATAAAGCAAACGTAATGCGATGCTAATGCGCTTAGAACTTCAGCATTTATGCTGACAAAGCTCTTTGTCTATCATGCAAAGTCTCTTTGTCCTTTTTCGATCTTCTAATTGGACATATGTCTACGTCAGTGTACCATCTCCCCAAACAAGCATGCAAAGAAAACGTCCGGTACTCACCCCGAGTGTACAGACGAACCGCTCTTGATCGTAGCGCACCACGCCCTTCAGCACGTCCAGGTACTTGAACATGCACTCCACTTCACGCATGTTGCAGCACTTTTTGAACTGCTGCTGCACCTGCTTCCGCAGTGTCTTGGACTTGGTGCGCTCGACGACGGCGCGCGGAAGGAACTTGGTCCAGCCGACCACCTGCTCGACGAACTCGATGTTGGACTTCTTGTCGAGGGCGTTCGGTGGGAGGTCGCGGAAGAAGCGCCGGATGTCGAGGCAGCCCAGCTGGACAGCCGTCTCCTGGTCCACGGAACATCGCTCCTGGCTTAGGTAGTCGTCCCGCACCTGAGGAGTAAACAGTGATAAGTGTCAGCTATGAACGAACAGTTTGGCATATGAATATGCTGCTACAGCGATACCTGCAAGCACGGCTGTTATTTTATAGGCTAAACAAAATGTGATGATTTACAGTGTGCAGAAAAAGAATCAAGATACTGAACAGTGAGAAAAAAGTCAATAATGACAAACCAAACGAGTCTTCGATTAAAACTATTTTTTGTCTGATTTGTTATCAATTTTGATCAACTTTTATCACCAGCCAGCTCATTTAGTACTGCTCGCTGCTAAATGAGATTGTTGCTACCAAACGCCAGGAAGCAGTGAAGCTGCCAAGCGAAACTAGCACAAGACAACAGCACAAAGAAAAGCAAAACCGATGGTTCACAACAGCAGCTGTGTCTAGATCCCGGCACCCTTCCACCAATCTTGCAGTGAATCCGAGTGTACACCAGGGATGCGTTCTGGGCCCACCACGCTACCCCGCAGGCTCAGCACATGTTAGCCCGCCTAAAAAGACAACAAACGATTCCTGCTACGCTCTGCAGCCGTCCGTCACAGAGCGATAATGGTTGTTGTACTCGACTGTGCGTCTTTTTGTGAGCGAGGCAGAGAAACAGAGCAGATCAGCAATGTTAGATGTGCCGGAGAGATACAACGGGAAAATACACTTCGAGCAGAGAACAAGGAAGTGAGTTCACCCAAGAAAACTATAATCCAATATAACATCTAATCTAATACCAGATTCTAAAACAGACATTTCCTTATCTAAGCACAACGTGGAAACTGGTAATTTTATAACAAAAAGATGTTACTGATAAGGTCACAGCTATAACTGCTGCCTTCCACACACCAGACCACGACGTGGCAGTGACCTTTGGAGACCCGCAGTGACCACACCCAGGCCACCATGACCCCGGACTTTCTAACGGTATCCGGGTTCCCAGCCTGGCATGAGTCCGGTCAACGGATGCCGTGATCCAGAAGGGTGCAATCTCCGGTGCCGTATATAATGAGGGACCGGTGCTCTTAATAATATGGTTCACGATCCTCGCCATATTGCAACATGTCCGGTGGCCAACTGGTTAGGGAGTTGGTGGCAAGCAATGACGTGGTAGAGTGGATGTACTGTAGCTGATAATGATTTAATTAACAAGCTAATAACAACTTTATATAAAATAATCACATACTTTCTTCTCTACACTCAGTACAGTACAAGTACGATGCGATCATTTTGCAGGCCATGCAAATAAAGTTCCAGCTTAAAATTGGCCAGTAGGCTCCGAAACCATAACCACGCTATCTCCAGCTGACCTGATTAACAGTCGATCGTATCAACCGACCAGCGGATTGGGATAATTTCATACCATGGGCCGTAACCACTGGTCAACACTGACCTTTCAACGGGCGCATACATTAGACCCAATCCACCTTGTAACCGGTATAGCAATCTATGCCGACCTCAATTGTCAACTAATGCAGCCTCATTGAAACCGCAGGAGAGCTTGCACAAAACCTACCGTTTGAATAAGTAAAAGCAAGCTAGATTGCTCCGCAGCCTGCATTATACAAAGCAAATCTAGAGATTCTAGATAGAGATTCTAGAAAGCAAGTCTACTACCTATGTTGGATTGATTTATGCTATATAGAAACAGCGGAGCAAAGATGATATGAAATTTGATAACAGTTTTGTTCGCGTCATTACGTATATAGCAGAGAACAAGTCTAACGACAAACAGCCAAAGAAAAGCACGCTAAAATACGAAAGTAAAACCGGAAATGGTGACTTTAGAAGGAATCTCTAGAAGTACTTGGGATTAAGTGCCTGACCGGTGTTTATAACCTCCGATGAACAGGTAACAGTCCCAAAACGAATTACCTTCCATTAGGCACAGCCGCCCAACAACATTAAAACCTCTGTGAAACACTCTGTAAAAAGGTTTTATGAGGTGAAAACAACATAATTCTTAATTTATTGCTGTCAGGTCTACACGAGATTCAAAACTATGGAGAGTCATTAACCTAAATACCGCTGTATCAGCCATTCACCATACTTCATGTTACGACAAACAGCACTTCAATCGCGGACCAATATGCTGAGGAATGGGGAAATATTGAGGAGAAATTCAATTGAACATGGCGTAGATAAAATAAAACAAAACGTCCTTCAACAGGATTGCTGGGAAAGATGCTATAACCTCTCGTTTGAAAAGAAATACCTATGCCAATATCACTTAAGCTAAGCAATTATATCGAACACCACGCAATGTCATATATAATATTGCCGGTGGAAGTTGACAGAATGAACGCAAAAGATGTGTAATAAAGGACAGCAAATCAGGCAGGGCACAAATGAAAAGGCACCCACACCACAAAGATAGCCCAATGCACTAATTTGATTTTATCTCTTACCAATATGTGACTGCAACACAGCTTACAATCCTAACTACGCAGTAGGCATTCTTCCATACTAGTAAGTTTTTAAATGGAAGCCAAACGCAGTAGGCATTCTTCCATACTAGTAAGTTCTTAAATGGAAGCCAAACACAACATCTGACGACTCCAGGAATGTCTTTTATTCCGTTCACTTTCCTCAGAGCCACGCCTCACCCTGCTCGACATACCTGCTCGAAATAGAAGAGAAAGGTGTCCCTGTCCTTTTCGCAGAGTGTGTGCAGATCTGCTGGGAGGTACCGCACACGCAACTCAAACCTCCAGCTGGCAGGGTCATTGTCGAGGCGCTCCATCACCTGTTGGAGGTCACCCAGAGGTCACAGGTCACGTGAGGTCAAAGGGGACCAAGCGAGATCAAATGAGCCGCCAGCGACTCCAGCGATCCACGTAAAACATCGACACCACACATGTGCGCTCATCAGGAAGATAAGAAATGTATGTGGTGAAGTGCAGTTTGCGATGTCAGATAAGATAATAAAGGGGCGAGCATGTAAAATTCGTCACGGTCGTGTCCTGAAAAGACACGCACTAGGTGCAAATTACACACGCGTGCTGTCTGTAATCGATCTGCGTTAAGTCACGAAACAAAGGACGTGAAAGTTTATGGGCGACAAAAGTAAAAGTTCCAGGGTAGAGCCAGGGATATCGATCTCTCAAGCAAAACCTTCCCATGAATAGCAAAACAATGCGGTCAGAAGTCAAAACTGCCTACCCTGGACCGCGAACATGGACGATCGCACATAGACATCGAAAATAGACAAATATACCTCAAACATGGACACAAACACCTCAAACATAGACGGACATACCTCGAACATGGAGGTGTCCTGGTGTAGCCAGACCACCTCTCGGGAACGTGTGTTGACCATCCTCAGCGCAAACAGAGATTGGTAGGCCCGCGGCCCGGGACTGTCGTGGGTCACCAGAAGGTCGATCACATACTGCGAAAAAGAGAAAATGATCGCGGTTAGATATGCCGTTCTATGCAAGTGCACACGCTGTACATAGGGGGATGGTAATATTTTGTCGGCAAAATGGCGTGTTATTCATGTTATTCGTATCTTAAAAGATTGAATAGTGAATGCGTAGACAGCCGAAGTAACCATGAAATTAGTGATGTATCATTACAGGATTACAAAATCAAGTGCATTATTCAATTCGAACCTCCCGTATTGCTTCCCATATGTCCCCATTTCAATAAATCATGCAGTCTTCCGCATTCCTATTGGATCCAAATGCTCACGCAGGCCCCAACGCCAACGCAACAGATCATAAGAATTGAGCACCAGTATGACTCAGGGTTAATAAATTGATCATGTAATAGCTACTCTAATGACGTCACGTAAACATTACGACTTTACATCAACTGCAGCGTGTGGGCACACCCGCAATTCACTCAGCAGACATCATTGCCAGCACGCCTGCGTTAGGCTGGTCCTATTGCAAGCACAGTTCATCAAGAGGACACTGATATCATAACAAAAATCACTAGCTGACGTCACTGGGTGAATTATAACCCGGAAGAACTCAGCCGCCTGGCAACCCAGGCCTGAACCACAGCATACAATGGGGCGGGCAGAACAATTCACACACCTAGCTGCTGGCGGCAGCGCAATTCAGACGACAGGTAAAAATGGAGAACAACCGCTTCCAGCAAATAACTTCCGTCGAGTCCCACGCACTATGAACGTTCAGGCACCTCTCTTCATGGGACCGTGCGACAAATTGGAAGAGGTATAGGTAGGTAAGCATATAAAGCAACTCACAGTCGCCATGGCGGTCGGTAGATCGGGTGCCAATCAGTCCCATCCCATCTTCTCAGCCCTCTTGGTAGGTCCGAACGGGTCCAATCACCGCCGCTGGCAGTGCGGCCAAACGGCACACAGTAACCACTGCCAGACGGGGCGGCGTGGATGGGGGCAAGAAACTAGAGCGGCGCAGGGAGGGATCGGCAGGAGGTGTAGGGAAGAGCCGTCAGAGCGGGGAGGGACCAACAGATATAGAAGACGAGCTAACAAACATAAATGTTCTACAGAATGTGCTATATGATTAGATGTTCTCTTGATACTACTATAACCCTCGCCCGTAAACGGTGTTTTGCCACCTTCGCCCATGCAGGGGGGGGGGGGTTGGTGCGACCCCCCCCCTGGCGTTTGAAAACGAAGCGTCGTAGAGCTTAGCGGAAAAGACCAACGGATTGCTCTCAACGAGATCTCGCGATTGGTGGTATATTTTTTGGTCCTAGGTCAACATTTGACCTACTTATGACCGGTCAAAGGTCAAATTTTCGGAAAAATCTAACTTTTTCAGATTTCCGCACCGATTGCGGCAAAACGGTAATAGATGTCGACTTGAAACCTTCACTATCGTGATCCTTGATCAATTCTCTATCGTTTGGTGTGTATTTCGATGTCATAACTCTAAAAATGATGCGTTGGGAGCATCGGAAGTCTGCAAGGTCATTTGTGCATTGGGTCACGTCAGGCGTGTGACGTCACTGACCTGACCCTGACCCAAAATGAACTACAAGAAACAACCGACGATGCCTGAAATGGATAGCAAATTCGAATTCAGGGCATCAAAATACCCCGAAAAGGCATACAAGTGCAAGAAGTCATTACAGGTCAACCGAGGTCACTGACCTGACCTTGACCTTTAGTAACCTTGAAAAGGTCAACGGACATTGTGCCAATGTCAAATCAGCCAGTTATGCTTCTAAAACAATCCTTCAGTGTGTCAGGTCAGTCGGCATTTATACCAATGTGAAGCAATCTCCAATTTAGCGTAAATCTGGCCGGAGGTTGTTCCCTTTATGACGTCATAACTCCGTGACCTGACATGACCTTGACAAAAAAAAAATTACCAAAAGTTGCGCAAAGGATGCCCCAAAGGGTACTGAAAATTTGAGCAGGCTATCTGAAACGGTTCGGCGTGTAGCTAAGAAAAACCTCAGGGGGGGGTGCACCAACCCCCCCCCCCCCTACATGGGCGAGGGATAACAATAACTCTACAAACTCTGTCTCTACAACCCCCTGCGGGCGTCCTCAACCGAAACCCTCTCAGGGACTAATACCGTCATTCTAACACAGCACCTTTTCTGCCCTTGCACCCCTCATCTCATCTGAAGCATGCGCCATCTGAGCCCTCTTTAGCCAATCGCTAATTCTCCCCAGTCTTCTCACTCCCGAGTAATGAGATGCCGAGATGTGACAATCCACTCGGAAAATGAACACGTGCCAGACGGGCCGGGGGAGGACGGGGCACAGAAAGGTCAGAAAGGTCACCACCTGGTGCCGAATGGGCCGTTGATGGGCAACAGCTGTTTGGGCGGGCACATTACGAAATAGCCACGAATGTGTGTGTGGTCCATGTTAGCAAGTCGATAGTCGGAGGGTCGTGTTTTCGAGATGTGTTTCTCAAATGACTTATGACTTGCATAGACAAGGAAGTATTTGTGCGTTAATGTACGAGTATTATAAATAAATGATACGGAAGAGACAGTCTGGAAACGGTAAAGTATTTTTTTTTTCAAGTCAGGTACATACCTATTCTGGGTCAAAGAACGTGAATCCACTATGCGCATCCGATCATGAATCCATTACACCTGGTTGAATGTGTCCCACTTCGCCATGGGCACTTAGGATTGCAATATCTCGTTTCCACGACAATTCGTGCGTGGAGCCCGCGAATGCCCTATTGTCTTCGAACAGGTCAACCATTTTCTATCGAGCATTGTTGAAATCCGCCCGAGAGTGAAACTCAATCATGTGAAAGGAGAAACCTACAGAGCCATGCCATACCTCCCAGCCTTTTGCACCATGTACCGCGAATTAGCCTAATCTCTCTACCTCGGACCGCAAATGACCTCTGGTGTGACCCTACTCGTAACCTCTGTTGCGATCTTTGACCTGTCGCACGCCTCCAGCCCTTTCAACCGGAAACAGCCGCGCTTTCCAGTGCCCCGCTCGCCACCATCAGGGCACGCGTCCAGTTTCACCTGCCAGCTCCACGACTCAGCAGCTCCACGACTCAGTGACTCAGCAACTTAGCGACTCTGTGACTCGATGACTCAGCTGGCCGACGTCCTAGCGACTCATCGACTCAGCGGGTCAGCAGTCGACACAGCTCACCTGTGACCCCTGCTGATCAAAACGCGACCACATAGCACTAGTGGCGCCAGTCCCCACCGGCCCGGCGCGGCATAACTTCACGTACCGCGGTCACCGCCCTTTTTTGCCAGTGGAGCTCTGCATAGAAGGGTGTTGTCGCCCGAGGCAGTTTGGCATTCATGCGACGCAGGGGTGTGGCACAGCCTGAATTCGGACTGTTTTTGGTCACCAGGCGTTTCCAATTTGTGCAACGTCTATTGCTATGCTTAAACATTATGCTGCTATCTACATTGCAAAATACTCCGAACATGAATTGATATCAACATTTCATCCATTCGCTGTCAACTTGATATGCAGACAGCACGCTTCTTGATCATATTTCTACATTTCCTGAGGTTACAAAATTGAGCAAAACAAACCAACCTATGGCTAGGCTCACACCTTCGACCAGCCATCCATGGCACGTCCTTGTCAATCATGAATCCCCAGAGACTGCAGGCATCAGCGACAGGCCATGATAAGCTCTCGTAAAATCCATTCCCTCAGAGCCGGACGGACGTCACTCAGCCAACCCCTTGACGACAGCCGTCCACTGAACTGACCAAACCCGCTTAGCAACAGTCGAACGTTGAGTCTGACACCCCGATCAGGTCAGCTGTGCCTGTCCGTAATCACCTGACCCGAGAAAAGGTCAAAGGCGGCACAGTATGGGGTCACCGACAGACAGCAGCGGAGACAAAGTGTCTGTCTACAGTCATCTGAGCCCAGCAAAGGTGGCAGAGGATGGGGTCACCGACACATCAGCAGAGACAAAAGTGTCTCCCAGGAAGCCAGACATGAACTCAAGCCTGCGTCAGGAAGGGCAGCGGAGTGACGTGCCCTAATAGAATCAGCGCGCTCAGCGACACAAAAAGCCAGCGTTGGACATGACAGCTGACATTGGTTCCAAGTCGGAGGCCATGTATTATGGGGAACCTTTCTGCCAAAACGTGCCAACTGTTAACTGATCGAAGCGTAAAAATCACCACAATGACAAACCTCTATCGCTTTATCATCCCCACTTTCTAACTCCTACGACATTTTTAAAGGAATCACCAGCGGTCCAAGATCCATAGCTGCGACTCCCGTTAGGATGGTCAGAGGTCAGCTCTGTAAAGCACGCCTCGCAGCTCGGGCATTCACCTTTCTCACGGAAAGCCTCGTCTGACGCACCCACCCCATGTTGCAGCAGCGTGGCAGACCGGACTGCGGGGGGGGGGTGCAGCTGAAGAGCAGCACAAAACTGTAGTTAGTTGGGGAGTGGAGCAGACTGGCATAGGAGGGTGTAACTCCTAGAAATCATCTTGCCGAGTCTCGAGCAGCGGTACTGCAGCGAAGTACACACAGCCCTATCGCTAATTAGGGCTCATGAGTATGCAGAGCAGACCAGACCGGTGAGTGGGTAGGATAACGGGTAAACCACATAATCAAGAACAGCTGGAGACGCTAAAATTATGCAAAATAGCGTAGCTTTGAGATCCACTGGTTTAGCTGTTCGTCTTGGCATAAGTCAAGCGATGAAATAAGCGAGAAGGACTTCACGGAAGTCCGCGACCGACTACTAACCACTACCTTTTCGCCACTCTGACTTCTTACCACTGAGCATTGACCGTTGACCGCTTACCGCTAACCGTTGACCGCGGCGCCAACCCCAGACCACTGACCGCTCGCCACCGGAAGGACGTCGAATCAGCAGCGTAACGGCGCCGGACTCGACTAGGCGGGCGTGGTGCCGCCATGGCCGGAAACGGTCTGAGTGCGACAACGAAGCTCCATCCATACCGTGTCCGGCGGTGGTCGGCCCTGCAGGGACCCCCGGCTACTGACACGGCTCAGTGGCCGCGTTCCATCGGCCGTTACATAGGAGAGACAGCCAGACGTGGCAGACAGACAGACAGAAGGCCAGGTGGAAGGATGGGGAAGAACAGTTCAGTGTGGGCGAGTGAGGTCGCTATAGGCAGGTGCGACGCCAAGGACAGGTGGTGGGTGATCAAGTCTCATGGATGATCGAACTTGATAATGCGATAATAGAAGGGAGTCGCTCGTGACTTCGATGGCGTGTGGCCTGAGCTATGTTTTGCTAGGATGCTAGGTAAAATATATCGACTTATTGTTATGGGTGGTTTATAATTATCGTATTCAATCGTAAAAGTAATGCGTACCCAGGATAATGTCTGCCTTTAGACAGACAGTGCATTCCAGGAATGCAAAAAGTTCGTGCATCGACGGAATGTAAGATATCATGTATTGAAATACCATCTGACCACGAATGTCATGTCCTAATCACGAGACACACAAAACAGTCGTCTACTCAAAGTCTTTTGCCCGCAGCATGACACTTTTTACAAACAAAGGCCTCAATTTTAACGCCACCAACATACAAAAACTAAACACAAAAATACCGTTTCATAACGGATGTCACGCACCCCACACACGCCAACCGAAAACACATGCAGCCGCCGATGCCTGTCTGCATTCCACGCCGCAACGATCACGACGCAAACAACGCGACCTTGCGGCACGCCTCTGCCAAACCGGGCCGCATTGTACAGTCTGTCTTAAAAGTACCGCGCAAAGTGACGGTGGATCCATCGAGCCTGACTGAGCAAGGGCCTGCTAAATTTGGGTCACTGAAGCAACTGACATCCTTATCCATTCCCTAGGTCAATTGGTCGGTGACTTTTTAATTAAAACATGCCCTTTCTCGGTCAGGCTTGATGGATCCACCGCCACTTTGCGCGGTACTTTTAAGACAGACTGTACATACTTCATCCCGGCACCATCATACCGCAGCGCTCTTTGGGCTACTAAATGCTGCCGCCAGTCCTCCCGACCCGGGAAGGGTTCTGTTGGCTCCCGTTCAGGGCACCACCAGCTCAGCTGGCCGCGGCTGAAGCTCTGTTTATGTAGACTGTTCAACGGTCATCGTGTTTAGGTTCACGGTCATGACAGAGTGGTGACACGCGGGGTGTTATACACAGACGACTCCCCGGGACGGCCGGTGTCCACTCAATGGGACGGCCTCGTCTGGCGGTGTAGGGCCGGCATGCATCCCCTTCCCCATTCACACACTGAATGCACGTTCATGATAGAAAACGTGGCTCCCATGAGACTTTGAACTTGCATAGTACTAGTTTGGATTGCTCGATATCAATTTCGGTACGTTTATGCTCCGTCTAACTCCCAAACAAAAAATTGCTGAAGATATCTGAATTATTATTTGCATCTCAAAAAGGATATTAAGTTATAAAGACATCACAGATATATTCCTATAGAAGCATTGTAACTAAACAACAAAGAGTCGTTCCTCCATGATATGATACGTGTTGGATAAAATCCACAAATATACAAAGTCGCGGACCGTTTTCAAAGAAATCGTCTCTCAGCATCATTGATCACCGAGGGCCGTGCGCTATCTTGTCGATCATCTCTCCCCTGTCCCCAGTTGAAAGACAAAACATCGACTCGAACCCCAGTGGATGATGGACCCAGGTGCGGCCTATCTATGCGCCATCTCCCCAGTCTCGTGGGTCGATGACCTCTCTCACGGGCCGGAGCGCCCAGTCTGCTGACCCAGCGAGCCGACCCAGGCACCATATCCGTCATAATGGATGATTCCCGGCTTTAGCGTTCCTAGTGATGACTGAGATCCTTTTGAAGCGGCCGCCGACGGCTGCCAGCGCCACAAACCGCGCCGCCAAACGTCAAAAGTAACGAGATGCAGATACGTTTAGCGTTTAATACGGCCATTATGCGTGCTCCATGGCGGATGACCCCGGTAATGTTGATGAATGAATGTCTCAGAAGGTAATGCGTCATACACGTAACGACGATTCCGTAATACGTTTAGCGGTAACATCTAACGAGGGAAACTTTCAAACTGAAAACTCTGAAATGTTGACAATGTCATGGCGGTCCTATAACGCAGGGAATAATTAACATATGTAAATTTTATATGCTTTCAAGGGCACCAATTAATTGTTCTTACATGTACGCGTAAAAGTTTTGTTTCATTTCCCCAACCTTTCCAAACACCTCACTACACATAAACATCTATGTAATCGCATCTTAGCGCCCTTTTAAATCAATTCATATTCACCATTCCCGATCCCCATATCAAACTCACCTTGACATCGGTATTCTCCGAGTATTTGACCACCTGACAGCCGGAGGGCAGGTGTACCCGCAAGGTAGGTCGCTCCTTCTCCGGCGAGCCCACTGTGCCGACGGCGTCAGACTGTGAGGTCAGACTAGTCTGACTGGACCCAGTCCGGCCGCTGCTCATCGTGGCAGGGTCATCCAGTCTGGAAAACACGAGAGGTCGAGGTCAAGATATGGCAGCTTGCGTATCGCTTAAGTACGAAACTTCCCTAAAATACAAAACAGTTGTCAAAAGCTTTGAACGACAATTTCCAACGCCCGCGATACTCTGTCCCCGCCTCTACGTGGCTTCAGCATAACACTAGATAAGCATGAACAGCAACAACTATCCATCCCGATCCCACGTATGGCATTGCCACTGATCACGTATGTAAAGTGTGATCTGTCATGTTTGGCATTTTGATGCATGGCACATTGGCACAGCCACATGACAACAGCAGCATGTAACGGCCAGTGCTGCGCTATGTGATCCTCGCTGAACCGTCAAATAATATTTGCCTGGAAACCACGTAATCGCGACTGCTGTATCATAAATCAAATTTAAAAGTCATGAGCAACGATTATATCACCATTTCAGCGCAATTCAGTCTCTTTTGTCGAGTCATTGCGATCGTGTGAGCTGATTTCACAATCACCAGCCTCAGTCAATATGTTGGTCCCCGGTAGACGAGCTTCATTGCACCCATCATCACGAGCTCAGAGCTATTGAATTCAGCTCGGTGCCTCAGGACACAGCTCGAGGCGCGTGGAACCCAAGCCACACGGAGGACGGGCAGGCCCCAGGAAGGTCGCACGTGAAGGCACGCGATCTCAGCTTCTTGACCCCCGAGGCTAGGCATTATACCAGCAGGTGGCTGCGTCGCCAGTCAGGAGCTGAATGCATTGCCGCTATGTATCACTGGCGAGTGTTCTCTTAGGACGTTGTCGACCACACCAAGCCTGTATGACTTAAGAGTCGTGTTACCTTTTCCTCAAGTTATAATGAATATGAAATAATATTTTCGGAGTTTCTTGAGTGATATATATTGAAAAATTGATAGCAAATATTTCGATACTCGTAGTGGTACCTTTTTCAATGCGAGTGATGCACAGTGCGAGCTTTGTTAAGCACAACAAAATAACACAATTCCCATGCAATCGGTGTGCCATGGGTCCTCCAGTGCAGATAAAATAACCTATACGATACCGCCTTCCTAAGAACTTATACAATATCGCTGTCTATCACGGAATTTTAATTAAATATTTAGTCAATCAGCGCTAATTTAACAAAAAGAGCGTCACTTCAGTTACAGGTAAGTCACACTTACACAAGGTGACCCCCCCCCCTCGCGTGTTCGTTCAGCGTGCCAACCACTATTTTTTTAGCACAATGTCCCATATTGGACTCAGCTGGACGCCACCGCTGTCGAGATTCATTGACGGGCGCAGCTGTCGGATCTCGATGGCCTCCCTGATTTTACGTTTTTTCCAGTGGCGTTCGATGGCTAGGGTTCTCGCCTCGAACGGGTTCAAGTCACCGCCACAGGTACAAAAGTGTCTGGCCGTCGCTGACGTATCGCAGCGTCCGTGCTTGATATCGGCGGTGTGCTCCTTCAATCTGTCCTGTTTTGGTCGCCCTGACTCTCCGATATAGCTGGAGCCGCACGAGCACTTTATCTCATATACGGCCCCTTTCTTCTTGCTCAAAGATCCCGTGGAGCTTTCTTCTTGCTCAAAGATCCCGTGGAGCAGAGCAAGAAGAAAGGGGCCGTATATGAGATAAAGTGCTCGTGCGGCTCCAGCTATATCGGAGAGTCAGGGCGACCAAAACAGGACAGATTGAAGGAGCACACCGCCGATATCAAGCACGGACGCTGCGATACGTCAGCGACGGCCAGACACTTTTGTACCTGTGGCGGTGACTTGAACCCGTTCGAGGCGAGAACCCTAGCCATCGAACGCCACTGGAAAAAACGTAAAATCAGGGAGGCCATCGAGATCCGACAGCTGCGCCCGTCAATGAATCTCGACAGCGGTGGCGTCCAGCTGAGTCCAATATGGGACATTGTGCTAAAAAAATAATGGTTGGCACGCTGAACGAACACGCGAGGGGGGGGGGGTCACCTTGTGTAAGTGTGACTTACCTGTAACTGAAGTGACGCTCTTTTTGTTAAATTAGCGCTGATTGTCTAAATATTTAATTAAAATTCCGTGATAGACAGCGATATTGTATAAGTTCTTAGGAAGGCGGTATCGTATAGGTTATTTTATCTGCACTGGAGGACCCAGCTCCACCGATTGCATGGGAATTGTGTTATTTTGTTGTGCTTAACAAAGCTCGCACTGTGCATCACTCGCATTGAAAAAGGTACCACTACGAGTATCGAAATATTTGCTATCAATTTTTCAATATATATCACTCAAGAAACTCCGAAAATATTATTTCATACACACCAAGCCTAGCAATACGACACAGCTGCAGCTGCATAGGTATAACTACATCGCAGCCGAGTGTTTTTAGCAGCGAGCCAGCTGGGGTCTCTGAATCAGCAACCACGTCCTTGGCAAGTGGACAGACGAGCGACACCACAGGTGCCAGACGAAGGTCTAGCCTCACATGTGGCTAGAGTGTCTAACGGCAGAGGTTCGGAGCCCCACAGCAGGTCTTACGTCGTAGGACACTGCAAACACATGCGTGACGGAAGCACATGGCGGATGTCTCTGCCCTAAGGCGATTCACTTAGCACCTGTGCACATGAGCACGAGGTCGGACGTCGATGCACGTTCACTATGTACCCCGCTGTGATGTTTGAACTTCATGACACACGTGTGGCAGACGTTGACGGTCGGTCAGAGTTCGGCAGCGCTCCTGTCACGTCAGTCGTCAATGACAGCTCATCTGTCATCATCATGTCAGAGATGGTGGAGCACCTGTCGACCACCTGGATGGCGATGCGCCCGAATGGTCACTGGAGGCATCGTCCGTATCAAGGTCCATGAACGCGGGACTTCCTCATGTGACTGTGGATTTGATATTTGGATATTGGGGGAAGACGCCGTTCAACATCGCTGAAGTCACGGTTGTGACACATCTTTTCAGTGTTCGCTATTCACCAATTATGAGCACCTATAGCCATGAAGATTTTGAGAGCCATCGGAATAAAACGATATCCTAATAAAGGCAGTACATCACATAACACATTCTAAAATCGTATACACGCATGGACTGCTTAATGCTTATCCTGTGCACCAATCAATCAGGCAAAGCGTTACGCAATAACCAAATGCATAATAAAATCGCTGCCTGACAAACCAACGAACACTCCTCTCTTCATCTAAGGTCTCCACGCAAGATCTGCAGATACGCAGACGCATGGGTGCCAATAAATTCCTGCCCAGCACGGCAAACTGCGTCTCGCAGATGAATGAGCCGAGGATTTGCATAAGCCCCCGCGCATGACGGTGAGGACGTTGATGTATTGCTAGGATGGTCTCCAAGACGTCTTTGCGTGTGGATTTCCGGGCCCTGAGCCACGCGCGCTCGTCTGCGCAGAGTGCTAATCGTGAGGAGAAGAATGGACCATGCAGGGCTTATGGCGATTGGCACCCTGGGTGGCGCAGCTGCAGATGACGACTATACGGATACACAACGGAACGCTAACACGTAAGGCGTGTAAGTGTATGCAAAATGTCCTAAGCCACGATTTCTTCCCATCAAAGTGAAAAGCTTTAGCCCGTTTCTCATGGAATAATACAAAAAAATGTGTGTTGAGCCAAATGTGTATTCAACGCTGGTTGCCAGGAGTAAATCAGTCAAGCTGTTGTGAAAATGTATCTTACAAACTTCATGCAAATGCATCTAATTTTACTTTCAAAAAATGCTTTCAACAAATAGGCATTCAAATATTAGTGCAGCAGTTGCACTAGTAGATAAGCAGCAGTACCCCTGGCAATGATAGCTCGACATTTGGCGTTTGGGAAATGCACCTGACTTTAGGTATACCTTTCTGTCCTTCTACATGCCCCACCAAATCATCATTATCATCATCAAAATTGTTTAATAAATCCCCTGCCAGTGTTTCGTAACTGGCCTAACCTGCCCGTGGGATGAAAAAGGCCAAGTTTCACACCGGGGGCTGATGAGACTCAGTGATCCAATTACGTCCGAGCGACCTCGTACCCCAGAGCAGTACCCACGTCCCACCCGTGACGGGTAGGCGGACAGACGTCACAGCGTCACAGGCGTCACAAACGTCACAGCGAAGGTCAGTGTGTGACCATGGCCGAGAGTTCGTCCCGGGCCGGTGGTGGTGGTTGACAGGTAGGTGTGAAATGACGAAAGATAGAGAGAGAGAGAGAGAGAGAGAGAGAGAGAGAGAGAGAGAGAGAGAGGTGAAAAGAGAGAAAAAGACAGAGAAAGGAAGAGAGGAAGGGAGGAAGAGATTGAGAAGCAATTCTTTTATCTTGCTTTACGATTAGCTCAAATCTGCTCCTCTGGGGTTGGGAGGTGTTTTTACGCTGACTTGGTATCCTCTCCTTCCGATATAAGATGCCAGATGCGAATGGAAAGATTACACTCTCATTTTATTCTGTTTTTATTCCCTGTATATGCGGTTCCGCCGTTCCGCTCTAACGCACCTGTTGTTTGTAAGCCCTCATTCAGCTTGCAAAGCCGTGTTCCGCATACAATGAAATGCCCAACAATGCACAAAGATAGTGCGAAAAATCCAGCCACGGCTTTACGATATCGTCCTAATTGCCAATTAAGTTGTTTTGCTATTCCTCCTGTGCATTCAGTAATGGTTCCATAGTTAATTAAAGTAGTTCCCTTCCGTCTGCCATCTCATATATTATCGCATTTAACTTAGACATTCTTATCAGCATCTAATCATTGTGCACTGTAAAATTCAGTACCCATAACAAACAAACTGATTTATAGCAGTTAATGTGCTTAGAGCACAATAGATCTTTACGTAAACCAACGCATCGTGATTTAAGATAGCAATCACAGATTCGGTCCCAGCGTCGAAGTACACTTCAGCCTTCTAAGCCAAACAATCCATCTCCTCAAGGTACAAACACCGGGTGAAGGCCTCAAAACAAACCTTCACATCGTCAATGGATCAAACAAATCCATCCGATCTAACAGTGTGGCCAATTAATC